TTTAAGAGTGTCGTTCGTTGACTAGCAATTGAATAATAACGAATAGAGAATAGAGAATATTTTTTAAATATAACCTTAGGAATTTTAGGAAATATATCTGACAACCTTGATTTGAAAGGCGGTCTCTTTGAAATCAGAGTGAGGCATATTTATGTTGGAAAATTATTAGTGGATGTACTATACCTACTTTCTGTTAAAATTTCAAGTCAATCCACGCAGGACGAAAAAATTGCGAGGTGAAATGCTTTATTTCCTGGACTATAAGTGGTTTGACAGCATAATAAAATCGTAGATTTATGTGTAGCTTTCAATTTTTATGATTTCAGAATCCAGCAGCCCGCTGAAGTATTGGATTTTTATAATATAATTATTTGACAACCTTTTGTTGGTCAACCACCTACAGCAGAATTGAGCCGAAATACATAATATTTCGTATGTTCCGAATTTATTTCGTTCAATCTGTATTAAATATCGATATTAAATGGAAATCACCAATTCTTAATCACACGCTCATTTTTACATTACGTTTTATGTTTAACCGAAAGTATAAGACACATGTTAAATGCATTTGCATGTTTTTATACACAACTGCACAAACTGTTTTGCATCAAGAGTTCCATCTAAATGCATAAATCGATTACAATATTACGATAACAACAGAAAACGTAAATTATAATGAAGTTTCATCGCGCAGGTTTTAAGGGCCCATTTTAGTGGCTTGTTTCGATAAAAAAGCTACTGAAATAGTTCGGAGTCTGGAACTCGACAGCGAAACCTCACCACAAATGACGTTTGCTACACATTTATAGTATTTTGGAATTATTGAAAAAATATTAGCTTTCTTCTAAATCCTAGAACAAACACCTGGACAGAACCGAAGCTTCTAACTCTCTATGCAACTATTCTTTAATCTCATACTTGTATACATAATAATATCAATAAGGCACCGATAAATGGAATCTGTTCTAGGCAAAATCAGTCAACAAAAACGAACCACAACGCAATTTGTTAATCTCTGAACCTATAAACTAAGCATCTTATATCTTATATCACATATATTCGCTGCAAAGGGTTTACGAATAATTTATGAATGGATTAAGTTTAACAACGAATTGCAATCGGATATGTATATATGGCAAAAGACGTTTAATCCAAATTCAGGTGCAAATGATCTACTTATATTTATAAAGAAGTACAAGAATCCATCGGTTTTCCTGTATCTACTCTAGTTTTGGTTGAATGAACAGCAAAGGCCGCCATATCGGTAAATCATCTAGAAGTCAACTTACTTATTTATTATCTAAGTTATTATCACCGACCTAAAAACCCGGTTAAATGGTAATCACCACTTCTTTAAGAAACCCTTTCCAGCTACTTTATGGTACAATGACTTGCATTATATTGTAAAACTGACATGCAGAGACGAAAAACGTAAATATATAATCAATTACTGGCCCAAAAAGGCTTTCGTCACCTATAAAAATGATTATTTTGATTTTGGCTTTTTAGAAATAGTTTCACTAAAAGTCCCTTCACTTGGAAAAATATTTTCTATCTCATTGATATTACTAGCTTCGCCTACTATCAAAAACAGTTTAAAACACCTCTAGAACAGCTTCCTGGAGTTATGAGTTCTTGAACTGTTCAAAACTGCTCTAAAATAGTTCGACAGTTGTTCTGCATTTGGTATGTAGTTGTTCTTTAACAGCTTCCTGGAGTTATGAGTTCTAGAACTGTTTAAGACTGCTCTAAAATGTTGTTCTCGATAACTAGTGTTACATGGGAGAGCTTTTTCGCGATCCTACAACAGTTTTGGACATGTTACTGGTTCATGGCCTGTTCCACCATATCTACAACTATTCCGGCTTTTGTTATGTCGATCTGATCCATAATTACTGTTACGTGTGGCAGTTTTTCAATACTCATACAACAGTTTTTGACATGTTACCCGTTTATTACTTGTCCCACCTTCTCTGCAACTGTTCTATATTTGCTGTGCGGTTTTTCTCGATATCTATTGTTGAATGTGACAGTTTTTCAATACTCATACAACAATTTTGGACATGTTACTCATTCATTACCTGTTCCAGCTTTATTGTGTGGTTTTTCTCGGTAATTACTGTTTAATGTGACAATTTTTCAACGAAATACTCGCTACTCGCTCATTACCTGTTTCACTTTCTCTGCAACTGTTCCAGCGTAGCTGTGTGGTTTTTCTCGATAACTATTGTTGAATGTGACACATTTTTAACACTCATACAAGAGTTTTAAAGATGTTACTCGCTCATTATCTGTTCCATCTTCTCTGCAACTGTTTTGTTGTGTGGTTTTCTCGATAATCACTGTTGGATATGACAGTTTTTCAACACTCATACAAAAGTTTTAAACCTGTTACTCGTTCATTACCTGTTCCACATTCTCTACAACTGTTCCAGCTTTGTGTGTGGTTTTCCTCGATAATTACTGTTCTCGATCTCTGATCAACCGAATGTAACAATTTGTTATGGGGTACATCTAGAACAGTTTTGTGGGATTACGATTTCTTGAACTATTCAAAACTGCTTCAAATTTGCTCGGCCGTTGTTCTGAATTTGTTCTGCAGTTGTTCTCGATAATTACCGTTGAATGTGACAGTTTTTCAACAGTCCTACAACAGTTTTGGACATGTTATATGTTCATTACCTGTTACACCTTCTCAGTAACTATTCCGGCTTTGTTGTGTCGATTTTCTCGAGAATTACTATTGAATCTAATAGTTTTTTATCACTCATACAACAGTATTGGACATTTTACTAGTTCATTACCTGTTCCACTTTCTTTGGAACTGTAGCAGCTTGTTTGTGTGGCTTTTCTCATTCACTATTGTTGAATGTGACAGTTTTTCAACAGCCCTACAACAGCTTTGGACATGGTACTTGTTCATCATATGTTCCACCTTGAGGATAGTTTGTTATGGAACACCTCTAGAAAATTTTTGTGTAGTTACGAGTTCTCCAACTGTTCAAAACTATTCTAAATTTCCACGGAAGTTGTTTTGTGTTCATTATGTAGTTGTTCTCCATAATTACTGTTGAATGTGATTATTTTCAACAGTCCTAAAATAGTTTGGGAAAATTACTGTTGAATGTAACAGTATTTCAACAGTCTACAACAGTTTTGGACATGTTACTCGTTAATTACATATTATACCGTCTCTGAAACTGTTTCGGCTTTGCTGAGTCGTTGTTCTCCTTACAAACAAATACTTGGGAAACGAACCATGTATAATTCTTATTCAATAAACTGTGGTACGGTTTTATACGTCTCTACAAGTCAATAAATTAATAGTATGTATATAAAATATTATAAAATTTAAATCCTACGACTAGGTACTATCTAAAACTAGCTCCTAAGTATATTTGGTACAGGTTTTGTCACTTTTATTTTATTGGAGGAATGTAAGAGTTCCTAAAAAATAAGAAATAATACATTATAGTAACTGTAAAGATAATTATTAATTTTTGTGAAAATGAAATGGTTTATACAATATGAGGATAAGCCTTGCATTATTCGCTCCGTGGGTCTCCCCTCTATTTACAGTCACGTAAATTAAAGACGTTTTAGTATTGAGTCTTATGGGATTATTTTGTTAAACTTAAATATTTTATTTTGTGGTGTTAACATCCGGATACAATTTTTAGAATTAATTAGTTATTCATTTATAGTGACATTTATAGTTCAACAAAAATATTTTTTGTCGTTAATAAAGATTTATTAACATAATCTGCGAAAGTGAGGTTATATATACATGATCAACCAATGATCAACATCTATGGTACAATGAATATGTTCATTGTATCATTCACAAAAGCGTCCTGATAAAATTTCAAACAATCGCCACCATGAGCAGGTCAGTCGATTTTGCTTTGACACTTTCTTAACCCTCGGAGCGGATATAAAAAAAATCAATAAAGTACTTTAACAACGTATCAAAAACATACTTGACGTGACTTTCTCGGCTACATTTGCACCCTATTATCACTAGATCAGACTTAGGTCTATTACCATGGTCCTAAATTCAACCAAAAAGTTTAGGGAGTGATATGGACCTGGTAATCCAACTCAAAAACAACTGTTAGCATCAGTTTTTTCGGATACAAAAGGATCTTTACTCGTGAATGACCCCCAAGCTCTATACTCAAGTTATTATTATGACTTATTCTTCTTCTTCTTAAGCCTTCTCTCGTCTATTTTTGGACATAGACCTCTTCCATCGATCTCTATCCTGAGCAACATACTTCCAATTATTGTGACATTTGGACCAATTTTATAAAAAATTCTGACTCAAAAACTCCAAGAAAAACAGTACAAACTGTTGCAAAATCGTCTTCTTCTTCTTAAGGTTCCATCTTCTAACGAAGGTTGGATATCAACATGGCAATTCTTATTTTACTTACAGCAGCTCTAAATAGTTGGCTAGAGCTCAGACTAAACCATTCCCTTAGATTTCGTAGCCAGGAGGTTCGTCTTCTTCCTACATCTCTTTTACCTTTTATTTTGCCCTCTATAATCAAAATCGTCTACATTCACCCTATATACAAAAATGTAGGGTCAGTCCAATCACCACGGCTATCACAGATTATTTCAGATTAGTTTGTCTGTAATAATAAAACCATTCTAATAGACCATCTTCAATAAGGATTTTTAAACTTTGACAGATGGTAACGGCGATATTGTTGAAGCTACATCTGTCAAATTTCCTGTCATTTATATCAATAGTGTTGGGTAGGTATTTTTTATTGTATGTTTTCGACAATGACTTTGTTAAAATATTTCCAAGCTGAGTGATTCGACCACAAATAACGTTTATATTGAAAACTAAAATGATATACATGCCACGCACTAACGTTTATCATTGGCACAATGTTTGAAGATACCTTTACATAGACCTCTAATTATATAATTTAATAGAACTTATAAACATATACAAATATATAAAAATGACTTACCCTTAATCAGTTTTAAGTATCGACAGTCCTTGTTATTGGCACTGTTTCGTTGTCCAACAATTCATCGTCAGCTGATAATAAAACATCACTTTCAGAATCAACGCGACGTTTCCTCGTAAGCGTTCGGTACTTCACGTGCATTCTCCTTAACAGACTTTCTCTGGTACCGCTATACCTTCTCTTCGCTGGATCTTTGTACATTAAGAAGTTATCGGTTACCCAAAACATTAACATCTGGAAGATAAGTATACGGTTACGATAAGTTTACGAACCCAAAGGGAGGTTCGCGTGTGATGTACATATGAAGTAATATTGTACACGGTGTAGCATGATGTATGATTTTTTTTTCAGTCGCATAACAAGCATTTATTAAAATATCGAATTGACTTAAAACATGCATGCGAAATGAATACCTTAGATAGATTTTTCAGTTCATTTTGGACTATAACCAAAGTAATTTTATTATTTTTTCTGTCGATGCCTTGTCTTATTCAACCAATAATTATTTTTCTTAGTCTGATATCTTGCATAACGGCTCTCTACCAACTTTTATTCGTCAATTGTTCTTGAACAATTCTCTTTTGACATGACCTCTTCATAGAACCTCATCATTATCTGTTACATGGTCCACCATAGAATTGCCATAAGCAGCCTTCTGAGACAACACATTTCGAGTCTCCGTTCGGCTCGCAGAGATAAGAATACGGCCGAGGCCAGAAAACCCTGCCTGTCGTAAGAGGCGACTAGTGGGAAGGAAATGAGAGGTGGAGAGCCATCGTTTGAGGTGTCGGGTTTGTAGAAACGCACTTGAGATGCATAGTCATCTTGGTCACCGGTCTACACTCCTAGTGTCCGAGACAAGCATTTCGTGGGGTGACGGGACGGGTGACGTACTCGCAACACAGGTACTACGGATAAGGTGGAGCCCCACGATGTTTCGGCATCGTGCCACCTTAGTTGGTGTCGGACTCGTAGGGGCAGTGGAGTCGCTTACGGTCGTATGCCGAAAGTCCAGGAAGACCAGGGTACTGCCAAATTTTATGTTTGGAAGGGCACAAACCTCAGGCTATGCCTCTACACAATTCATAGATCTCACCTAAAGTGATATGGTTTCACTTCCTTACATTAGGATGGTCCATATGTAGCATTTCAAGCTACACACTTCTACTAGCTAGCTAGTTCAGCTAGTTTCTACCTCATCAGATAGTGGTAGAGCATAAGATAAATTTGTAAGGATCCTCTGCAACTGTTGACTTAATATTAATCTTAAATCAATTTGGTCATAAATAAAAAAACATTTTTTTCATATACATATCAAAGCAGAATGCATTCAAATAAACGTGGATTTGTACAACTTATACTTACATTCACAAAAAACGGTATAATCAACATCACAAAAGCAACCTCTACCTTAGCGTTCGGTATAGGCGACATAATAAAGTCTTTCACATTCTGCCAAAAGTTTAGTTGCATAAACAATGTTATTGATCCTTTCACTATTAGCATAAGACATACATAAAGGCAGCACTGTATCATCCATGCATTTGCAGATGGCGGTTTTCCTAAAAGACAAATTTGTCAAGAATACATTATACTTATAAATTTAAAAATATTTTAGATTGTTTAGGTTTGCAAAGAGATGAGTGGCAAGGTTGGTAAATAACTGTAGAGGATTGTTTTGTTTTTCGTCTGTAAAAATCCCAAAAAAATCGTAATTTACAATGAAAATTATTCAATTCAATTATTCAAAAGAAAGCAAAACGATCCAGCAACTCAGTTTGTGTATGTAAACTGATAAGAATCGATAATTACGATATAAAAGAAATCTTGTTTTACATTTTTGCAACGTTGCCAAAGTGTGCAAAATAATTTAGTTATTAAGCCAAAAAGGAAGAATTTTGGGAAAATTCAATATTGGAATTTGGTCTCTGACTTCTCAAAAAGAGCTAAAAATTAAAAAACTGGTTTTGGGTGCCCAATCCCAAATAAAAATCCAGCCAAGTACAGATTTTATCAACTTATGTGGCTATATCTTGTGTGTTAAATTTATATACAATAGTAAACTTACCATATTCACCAAAATTGATGGACTCCCACCCTTTTCTCCTAGATAAGTACTGGCTAAGTCTAATTCCGATAAATATAATTAAAAGGCCTAAGGACGAATCTAACAGAAAGTTTATTAAATACCTAAAAAACATAGTTACATTAATAAAAAACAAGTCACACTTTAGGAGTGTCGATTGTAAAAAAAGTTAATACTTTTTCAAAATTTGTTAAATATAATATAGAACTTATTCATCATTTACATTTTCTTTATTATTTTGTATTTATGTTTAACAACTTTATTTTGATTATCACTATATTTTCTTATAATGGATTTAGAAAAAATTCTCCTTGAAGGCGAATCGAACTCCAGTCATTTGCATGAAAGGTAAAAAACTAAGTAGACGTGAAGATAGTCACGGTTTTAGTGACGTCGATATAAAGGAGGATACATAACTGTTTGTATAACCTCACTAAACGAAGCCAAAAAATCACCTGAAAAATCGATAATTTACTAGAAGCTATTTTTCAATTGGAATATCTCCTTAAGGTTTATTTACAGGTTGGCAGTAAATGTTCTTTTACAGAGATGCTTAGATATAAATCAGGTAGTATATGCATGTTTCATTGATTTTGAGCAGGCATTTGACAGAGTGCAGCATAATCGGCTTAAAGAAATTTTATTAAATAAAAACCATAGACAATAGAGACATTATAATCATATGTAACCTCTATTGGAACCAAACAGCAAAAGTGAAAGTTGAAAATGAACTGACCGAGGATATCCAGAATCGTGGGGATCCAGCCGTGAGGTCCGCCAAGGGTGTATTTTATTTATTGTTATTCAATTTATACAGTGAAGCCATCTCGGAATTAGCGCTTGCCGAGATCAGATAGTGCCTTATAATAAACGGTGAGCCACTTAATAACATAAGATATGCTGACGACACAGTCTTTATGGCAGGAACACTAGAAGAACTGCAACAACTTGCTGAACAACTAAATATATATTGCAACGATTATGGACTAAAAATAAATTTGAAAAAAAACCAAGTTCATGGTATTTACAAAAGCACAAACCATCAAAATTAAGCTAGTACTAGATAATACAGAAATTGAACAAATATCTTCGTACAAATACCTTGGACCATGGATCACAGAAGATACTGATCAGACAAAAAAAAAAAAAAATAAGATGCCGCATTGAAATTGCACGGTCAACTTTCAATAGAATGAGAAAACTTTTTTGTAATCGCGATATCAATATATCGCTCCGGATAAGAATGCTTCGATGTTATATTTTCTCTACCCTTTTGTATGGGGTTGAAGCTTGGACACTTAAAATATCCAACATTAAAAACCTAGAAGCATTCGACATGTGGTATTACCGACGTATTGTGAAAATATCATTGATGGATTCCAAAACAAAAGAACAAGTTCTTGAACCACTAGGAAAACAATGCGAAGTTTTAAATTACATAAAAATCAGGAAATTGGAATACTTGGGGCACATCATGAGAGGTGAAAAAATACGAACTACTAAGGAATATAATGCAGGGTAAAATCAGAGGCAGAAGAAACGTAGGAAGACGTAAAATCCCGTGGCAACGCAGTCTCCGTGAATGGTTTGGATGCAGTTCAATTGAACTATTTAGGCGCGTAACCAACAAAATTATAATTGTCAGAATGATTTCCAATCTCCGATAGGTGCAGAACTTGAAGAATATACTCAGTCTCTTCTCTGGTGTTCTTCATTTACCAACTTTCTAAAGTACTCATACCATCTTTGCTTTATTTCAATATCAGTTCTTAACACTCTTCCATCCGCACTCTTAATCTGCCGTACGTGGGTTAAGTCCTTTGATGATTTGTCCCTTGCTTTAACAATGCTATCCAACTGTTCTTACAGGTGTGTAGACGATTCTTCCTTAGAAGTAGCTACATCTCGTTTTACTTCCCTCTTTGCTACTTTGTATATATTCTTATCATCCTCTCTTTTAAACCTGTCATACCTCTTTCTTCTCTCTAACCTTCTGTTGCACTTTATCGTTCTACCACCAAATTTCTTTGTCTCTAGAAGGCCCTTTACCAGACGTTTTTTCTAGCACTCCCTCTCCCACTCTCACAACTTTACTGTTGGCTTCCCACTAGTCATTTACTTTATCTTTTTCTTCAAGCTCTTCCAGCACTCTACTCTTAAAGACTCTTGCCAAATCCTTATCCTTTAACTTCCACCACATAATCTATCTGATTTTCCCTTCCCTTTTTTTACGATCGCCGTAACCTATGATCATCAAAACTTCTATTCGCTGTTTTTCTGACAGCACCATCGTAATTTCAAATAATTTCTATTAGGGTAATATTTCTAAAAAAGATACTAATGCAGACTTCTTAATCGATGTGACAAAAGATGTCAGAGCTTTAACGCTGAAAATAATTAAGTCATGAGATAATAAACCGTTTCCACACTTTATGAACACACTGTATAATACTAATACAACTCTGTCTGGGGTCGTGGGATAAATTGAATAGCTCTACAACTGACATCCGATCCCAGATAAAAGAGGAGAGATCGATAAGTAAGTTCATGATAAAAACATGGGTACACGTGGTTCCGACTGTCACTATCTTGGGAGGTTACTCCAGAGTTACGGATTAATCCACAGTGACAGGAACGGTGGATATCATAGCAATTATAAGTACTAAAATGACGCATAAAAAGATGATTCTGATTCTGGTTCATTTTTGAGATTCATAATTAGGACTGGAAATAAAACCAAGATTACCATTCTCCGTTGAGGAGATAAATTAAATACTTAATCAAAATTCCTTTGGCTAATACATTAAAATAATGTAAACAGCGCTAATGTAAAACAATACTTACCAAGTACAAGGGTCACCTTTATATTGTCCCGCTAGCCAAACATTTGCTAAGTGGATAGCCATTGAACCCATTCCCTGTTTAGAAGTATCGTAAAACCATATCAACCACGATCTTCTTTCTAATCTTGGTTCGCAAAACCTTTTGGCTAAAAAAATTAGTATATTATAAAACAGTCAACTCAGCTGCCTCCACGAGCGAATGATTCGCTGAGACTACTTTCAAAACGTGTAAAAAAGTGATGTGGCATTCCGAGAGTGACCAAGGAGAAGGACTCTTAAGCTAGCGATTACACGTTAGCGGAATCCAATTTAACCTTCTATATATTGTTTCACCTATGTTTTACTAATTTATTACCACCCTACTAATTTTTAACACCTAAACCACCCTTAGTGGAAGTGATTCTGCTGACTTAAAGTTCATATAGCAGAATTAGCAATAAAAACAAAATAGATGCAAGTGGAAGGCAACCGTAGATACGTATTTGTGACTTTTGGTCTTTATCAGTACGGTGCAAACAAGTTAGAAAATTAGTAAAGAATATTAGTTGATTAAATTTGCTTTAGTACTGTCTCTGCGGTATTTGTTTAATGCTGACTTACTTACTTTGTTGCATAGCTAGAGAGCACCTTTCATTCCACCAAGGTGTTGTTTTACGATACGAAAAAATTGGTATTTGTTAAATATTTGCTTCAGCAGCGGAGATTATACAGTTATTGAAAGCGCCAATATTTTCATTTAGATCTTCTGATAACTAAATCTGGTTTAGTTTGCTTTCACTATATAATCAAAAGCCATCCCAGTTGGCATTAGAAATGTTCCATTTTTTAAAAGAGTCGAAATGTTTTTCTGATTTTGCAGATATTAAAATAGGAAAATGATTACTGTCATAAAGATAGTCAATTGGTTTTCATGTGATGTTAGGATATATTCTTGGGTGGCCCAAACTTAAATCTATTGAGGAAAATGTACCGGTAGCAACATTAAAATGAGTGTTGGAATGATTATTCATCATACAGGTACCGGTAATATTTAATACATTTTCAACATTATTTACTCGGCCGAAGGTTTTTTCAAAACCTGCGGCATTGAAATCTCTAATAAGAAGGAAACATTCGAGATTTGACTGACCGAATAATGATAACTTTTTCATAGAACAGAAGATAAGTAGTGCTGTATTAAACATTAACGATTACATTGCCACAAAAAAAGAAAACATTGATCTCACTAAATTAATTTTGTTATTTTATGTTAGAATAAATTTCACCTCCTGAATGTTGACATAATACGTATAAGTTTTTTTTTATTTAGTAAAGGTCAAATAACATAATCAAAGAAATAAGCTAGTAAATAATGTGCAAACAAACATTTTTTTGTTTGTAATACACAAAGCAGTTATTAGAATTCTCGTTTTAAATTTAGATTTCACAGTAATTAAAATTATCAGTTATTCTATTTAATTATTGCTTAATTAGTTTACATAAATATTTATAAATTCTTATGTACAACACTGTTTAAGGTTTAACAAGTATTTCAATCGAAATAGTTACTGTAAAAAAGAGAAATTACTAGGTTACGTGGTCTAAATGTCGAAATTGCCTGGTCGATTGTTTCAATTTAAATATTTTATTAGTACTGAATTATTTAGAAGCAAAATGTCTATCTTAGCAGTATTCTGTGCAAAAAGGCACAGAAGATCAATTAAATTGAAGAAAAGTGTTCTATTTAAGGATCTAGCAAAAATATGAAAAGACAATCGTAAATATCCAGAACCGTATTGAAAAAAAAAAACGTACGGTTAAATTCGTACTTGGACACCGAGGAAACCAATATTCGTCTGGGGAGGGAATACAGATTAGCGACGGGGACATTAAATGACAGAAATTTAACAAAAAATTAAAAATCAGTACAATATGAGAACTCTATAGCAAACAGGAAACATTAATAGTTAAAAAGAAGGAATAATCATAATTGATAGATTCGATCGTTATTTGATGGAAAATCATTTTATGTAAAAATAAAACACTGAAAACTTTGTGTGTTTTTTAATTTGTTAATTTCCATATATTCTAACAAATATAGCTTAAGTCCTTTATTTTGAATGTAAAGAAATTCGCCATTAAAAGAATGGTTATGATCTAGAAGGTGAAGTGAGTATGTAGAATCTGTTTTTCTATTATTGAAAGCCCTTTTATGTTCTGCTATTCGTTTATTAAAATTTCTACCAGTTTGACCGATGTAAGTTTTTGGGCAGTCGCCTCATTTAAGTTTGTATACACCACTGTGTAAGTGCTTTTTATTTTGGCTCTTGTTGTTTTTAATATATTTGCCTAAGTTGTTGTTTGTTCTGAAAGCTGGTGTTATTCCTTTTTTTATGTGTTTGGCTATTTTTGTTGATATTTTGCCTATATGTAATCGAGCAGAAAGTACTGCGTTTTTTTCTCTGGTGGTGGAAATACTAATTTCAGGGCTTTCTTGTGTAGTTTTTGATTTAAAATTTTGATTACTGATATTTAATTTTGTCTCAAAGTTGTATTTTGACATTGGAATTTCGGTTAATCTATTAATATACTATGATAGGCTGCCAGTTTATGTTGTGTGGGATGGGATGATGAATTCTGTATAGTCGTGTCAGTATGGGTAGGTTTATGAAATATGGAGAAGTCATGTTTGTTTTTTAAGTCTGATAATTTTTAAATCAAAAAAATTTATGGATTGATTTTGTTCTTTTTTTTTTTGTAAATTAAATATGACTATTAAGTGAATTACAGAACAAAATCAATCCATAAATTTTTTAGATTTAAAAATTATCAGACTTAAAAAAAACATGACTTCGTATAAATACATTTCGTAATCTGATCTTTTCGAACCTCTTACTATTTTCCAGCTTTGTGTTGAAGGCTAGTTCGGACATCTGCTGCGCCCAGAGGCACAGGTAACTATATGCTCCTATGGGGCACCTCGACCTGGAGATACCCTCAGAGAGGGAATCTGAGTGACGAACTGACCTCACACGTCTATTTCCGCCCATCTATTATTTGTTCTTTGTTCGTTCCTTTTTTGTACACATTTGTTCTAGATGGAACCACAAAGAGTCTTAAGATCGTCTGCCTCAACGTAAAGAGTGATTGAAGGCGATCCACAGCCTTCCGTAGATCAGCCTCAGCGACAACTAGCTACTGAATTTGCTATCAACAAGTCCTCACAGACAATTCGTCTAATGACTAGCAACCCCGATGGAGGTTCGCTTTATTTTTATATATGCGCCGTCTCAATTCATCAAAGCTATAGCAAAGCTTAAATTTGTAAATTTTTTACAGATTTCGTACTGCTCAAAAACACAGAACACGATAGTCGTTTTCGTTTAAGGCTACCAAAATAGGTGGCACTTTTTGCAGAATTACACTAGAATAGCGGAAATACCAGGACACATTTTCTGGCTTTCTGTGTTTGAGTTTGTATCTTCCCGACTTTCTGAAGACGTAAGGCATACAAAAATAACGTTATAACAGTCTATTGATTTTATAAACCAATTTATACACGGAAAGTTTGACGAATTGTGTTCTTTTCGCCTTTTATTTTAATACATTCGGCGTCTCAATTCATCAAAGCCGTAGCAAAGCTCTTGCTGAAATTTATACTTATTTATGCTTATTTAAAGTATATGGTTTTTAAAAACTCTAATGAAGCTCTTAAAAATATATACAAATAGGCAACAAAAATGACATATTATTTTTTTTCTTCACACAGTTTTTCATTTATAATAAAAAAATCAAATTTAACTATAAATTAAAAATTTAGCAAAATAAATCATAGATTTCAAACAAAATAAGTTTTCTTACACAACTTTTGTCTTCATTTGTGATGATTAATGTTTATTCTTAAAACAAGAACTCCCATTTTAATCAATCATCTTAACCACATGTTTTCTTAAACCAAACGGAAATCATTTTGAGGAATATTTAAATATTATATCAAAAATATAACAACCAAGTGATTTATTTGTTTAATATTATTTAAAAAATCCCATTGTTATCGCTCCGAATTCCACTTATTGATAACGTTCCAAATGATACCAGTATTTTTGCACTAAACCTTTTCATGTTAAGCTCACTTTTCTTTAGTATAATGATATTGCTCTATTTAAATATTGATGTATGGTATATACTATATATACTTAATCCACAAAATTATTTTAAAACAGTTCGTAATTTTTCTTCTTCAAGTGATATACGCTTCCATTGCAATATATGGACGTTCATCTGCCATTTATTCATAATTGTCACTCTCTAGAAAGACTAAAAATTTCACCTAAATTCTTTTATCTCGTAACTACAAGTGTTGATTTTTTCCTTGGGCCTCGTTTTCCTTCTATCGTATCCATTATACCAAATATAATTATTTCATATTTAATACCTTTCATTTCAACGTTCCATGAGATATGAGATTTACACAATGTCCATATTTCTAATACTTCTATTAGATTCTGCATAAAACATGGTGATCCCGAGGATTGCAATACCTTTAAATTTGTAACAATTACATCAATTCTATCTAAAATTATTGAAATTATGTAGAAAGCTCCACTTATTGGCTGAATGCCTTCACCTTAAACAAGGTGGACAATTAAGTGAAAAACAATATGGTTTCAGATCTTTAAAATCTACATCCCAAGCAGTAACAAGCATCAATATAATTTGCTTATTCTGTCTGTTTGTCTATCTGTCCGTAACGAAAACTCCAGCGCCGGCATTACATCATATCTCCATTGTTATTGGTGCGACTGGAGCGTATGATATGTTAAATGAAAGGGGAGGGTATAAAGATTATATTGAGATAGAAAAAACAAACAAGGTGTAATGTGTGTTTGTATATAAATAGATTTAAAATTGGCTGTAAACACTTTAGCTGTTTGAATATTAAAATATATCACTTCTTGACTTTAGAATGATTTATTTCAACAGTATTTATGACAAATTAGGAAGTACGAACATGACTGTTGGTTAGTTCTTCGACCATCTTTTTCAATTTTTGATTCTGCACAGTGATCCATAAGCTTATAATTTGCGGCCTAACCTACCATAGGCGAGCGAATAAAAAACACAATATAATTTAAAAAAATATAAAAATAAACGTAATAATAATGGCCTTAACACAAGGCGACTACCAAATAGGGCAGTACACAGTATCTTCATTATTAATGAATGTATAGTTACATACGAGATATCGTAGGGTACTATGAATGGTAATATGAATGAAAAGAAAACAACTGATAGAATCTTAACATATAGCAAATGAAACAAAAACTACTACTATCTCTGTATCAGGTGATGATATGGAGAAACGATGAGAGACTGAAGTCTATTTGTTACTAAGTGGCAAACACGAAAATACAGATCATTTAGGCTATATTTATCGATGTTAGGAATGCATTCAATACGCTGCAGTGGAACGAGGTAATGAATGCAATGGAGGAGAGAGACTGTCCTGGTTACCTGATGAATATGATGGAGAAGTATCTGTCCGAGAGAAGGATTATGGTGAAGAAGAGCACGATCGTCGACGGGACGGCCGGGTTCCTCCAGAGATCTGTCTTGGGCCCCCTCCCTATGAAAGCTGGCATATGATGGGGTTATGAACTATGAATACAGAGAGTACTAAGCTAAGAATACTCCTTCACATTCGCGGATGATCTCACTGTGCTGATAGTGGCGCGGAATTAGCCAGATCTCAAATACCGGGCTCGGAACGTAGGCGTCGTTGTAAAGAAATGGAGCTACAATGTGCGGGGGAAAGTCTAATACCCAAGAAACATGTAAAGTACCTGAGAGTGAGATAAACAACTATATCCATGCAATGATCAAGAAAAAGAAGAGGAAGAAAGGCAGCTGGACCAACGGTAAGGATAAGATAGAAAGATGCTGGAAGTTGAAGGTAGAAAAGTGAGTGAGAAAAGACTGTGTGAGTTAGACTGTGAGGAAGGATGAAATGTCTGTCTGGGAGTGATGCCATACCAGGGACTTCCACAAAATTTGGGGTTATTTGTAGTATACCACTTTGTGTGTCTATGTTTTATTTTGCATTATTTATATGTATTTATAATATCAAAAAAAATCTGCATAGAATATTTTTGTTGTAACAAAATAAAAGCATTTTAGTAGAACATCATACATTCTAGGATCCTTAGAAGGCCTTAGAATCTAGTCATTCATATAAATGTTCAAAATAATGTTGATATTTCAACCAGCTTATTACTATGTGACAGTCAAGTCTTTTTATAGAAATATAGATAGTAAATAGAAAATGACTATTTTTTACCTATTTAGCATAAAATTGATATAAAAACAATGACGCACTCAATTTTTCATGACTAACTAGATAAGACACAGTAATTTTCATATTTTTTCAATAATTTTACACCTTTATTGCATGGCTGTAAGGAAACTCAATGTCCATAACTTCAGTACAAATTGCTTATTAATATTCATAGTCTTGTAGCATACTTCTTGAAAAAATTAGGTACTTTCTCTTGACTGTTTCAACTTTAAGTCACAGCCTCAGATATGTTTTAAAATATTGATTTATTTGATTTGTGTGTTTATATTCACCTTCAAGTGTTTAGCATGCTGTTTATGTTTTAATAATGTATAATTTAATAGGGACAATAATATGAGTTTGTTTCTAGATTAAGTCTAAACCACACAAAATAATCATATTATGAAGAAATTAGCTTGAATAATTTTGTCTCTCAGCAAATTTAATCTCTGTTATGGTATATTCCTCTATCTCTTTATTTGTTTATTAAATGTCATGAAGAGAAAATATCTCTAGACTATATCTAGAACTTTGTAAAGAATACTATGGTTATAAAAATAGAGATTTTTTCATTAAGAATGTTTTGAAATTTGTCAAAGAAATTCGATGTTTTAGTCCAGTCAATTTTGTTGCCATTGGATAAAATCTTACTTAATAAAAAGTAGTTGTAGAAGTCAAGATGAGGAGTCTCTTACTACAAGACAAGGCATTATTATCAGCCATTTGTTATATATTTTTATGTAAAGGGTGTGGAATGTGATAAAAAATAGTATTTATGACACATATACAGAGTTGCAATAAGATATGGAACCAACTAAATATTTTTGAAACAAAAAATATGCCATTCATGAAACCTTGCATATATAATACCTTGCATGTAATAAGTAGGACAGCCTGTATATTTTTGTGGATTTTAAAAGAACTTGTTATTCTTAAATCATACATACCAAGTTTGGTAGAAAATTTGTTTAAATGAGAAATAAATCACTTTATAGTTAAAGAATAGGTACATTTATTACCCTAGGCCAATGAAAATAATAATTAAAAAAAAATCACATTAAATGTTCAAAATGGTAACAAAAGTTCACTTCCTCCCAATCTGAAGCCTATAACTTTATTTAATAGTCTAATAAAATGAGGACAATGACATGTAAAGGCTAGAAGCTGTGGTTACAATTTCAGTACATCTGCAGAAATTTTATTTAACTGTGAAGTGATTTATTTGTCATTTTAACAATTTTTTTTACCATACTTGGTATGTATGAATTTGCAATAACAAGTTCTTTTAAAATCATCAAAAATATACAGGGTGTCCCATTTTAATTAAATAAGTTGGGGGTAAACAGTGTTTCCAGAAATAGATCTTTATTTGGTAAAAAAATGGTGGTTAGAATACTGCTTGAAATGGCATAATATACTTTTATGTGCAAGGAATTATCCATTTCATCTGTTAGAAAATGCTATGAAATTCTATGTAATGGTGACTTTTATGTATGGAATGACTTAATTATCTTGAAAACAGCTTACATGGTTTTTATAGATTTTGGTATATTAGATTAAAAAAATGGCCTATTAACAGACAACCTATATAAAGTAAGGCAGTACTGATAGAATACCCTAATAATCCCAATGCCCATACTAATAAACCATTGTTATCACTTTAGTCTTTAACACTCTTTCCATAAGCTCCTAAGGTCCTTGTGATTTATGTTTATTTTATTCATGTTAATTTATTATGAATTACTTCATAAATTGCTCTGCAATTTAACCAAAACATCAGATTTTGTTCAAGGGTATGTTTATCAAAACTTCCATCTTTGTCATTTGTGATTCCTAAGAATAATCAAATTAAATATTATTTTACTAGTGATTTAACTTGATTTGAATTAAATTGCTTACTAATTTTACATCACTTGCATACAAAAGGAACAGCTCAAAATAATATAAGTATACTTAATGTTGCAATATATTCCTTTCACCTGCAGTTTATCTAATTAATTATGACATTACACAATATCATCAATTTTATAAAGACTTCCTTATTTCTGATTACTTACATAATTTTAGAAAATAAAAGTTGTTTTTATTTTTTAAAGAAGCTTTATAATTGTAATTTTTATCATTTTTTTGATATAAACAATTAAATATAATATTAAACATCCCATAGAATAAAATAGTGCTGTTGTAAAATGTAATTATTTGAAAACATAAGAATTACGACTCACCAATTAGGCATGTAAAGGCCAAACATGCTAAAAGAATTTGAAGAAACAATCCAAACTTATCAGTCAAGGCATCGTTAGAGCAATGCAGTTCGTCGGCCTTTTTTGTCATCAAACTTGTGGAATTCATTGTTTTTAAAGTATTTCTTTAGAAGTAATCATTATATTTATAAAACTAAATAACTTTACTCTAAGTAAAGTACGTTTCACCAAGATAATCTGCTTCACTTTTGAACTATGATGCTATGATTAATAAAAACCAAAACAGCTGGAATTGACAGTGACAGGACAAGATACAAATCTGTGTCATATTTATCTTTGATGGCAGTGATTAAAAAAAGTCTCGATTGTAAAGCTATTCCACAGATATTTTAAATTAAATATCCTTTAAAATACCACGTTTTTTATTACTAAATTTATGAGCTATACTATACCGACAGCATAAACTGATTTTTTCTTTATAGAAATTAAAGAATAATTTCTGTCAACACAGGTAGAAATGATTTTTGAAAAAAGTATATATTTTTTTACCTGCTATACGAAGTTAATTGAGTAAGTAAGAGAAGATGATGAAGTTAATTTGAGGTTATGTTTAAGATTCCAGCAGTGTTGTGAGGCTTTATTAATTTTTATCTTATGATAGAAATTATAATGCCAGTTATAAATAAAATTATAACTAAAGAGAAAGGTTCTAGACCTATTTTAAGTAAGTAATAAACATTCTTATCTAATTGAAAGTGCTGTTATGAATGGATATTAGATATTATTGCCTTACTAAGGCTCTGAAACTGTTTTCTTCTGGCATGTATAAGTTAAATATTGTGTCTAATGCGATTAAATCACAATTGATTGTAATGGAAATTACATTTTTAACTAACATTTAATTAACATTTGATGTTTCAATTTCCACTCCGGAAATCAGTTTCAAAAAAGATTATTTAAGAATTGTGTACTTGGCCAGTCTTCTGGTTTCAGTGTTTCTGTATTGTTTGTATATACATCCAGACCGTATGGGTCCCAAAAATTCACAAAGAAAATCTACCCCTTACAACACTTTGCACAATACACCTTAACACACTATATAACAACTTACATTAAAAACTCACAAGTCTTGCAAAAACTAACAGAAATAGATTACAATTACAACAATATGCAGTTCTATATCGCTAGCCTTATTACCAATGTGTCATTGGAGAAAAATTTAGTAATTAAAATTAATAAAAGTTAAATGAGTGGCAGTCAACAGGGTCAGCATAGCCATGATGATTTCCATCCTTCTATAGAAGATGGAATTTAAAGAAGAAGATACATTGACAACAAAAGTCATTCTAAATGTATCAGCCAACATGAAGCTGCTAACACTTTGCACAGATAATACTTATTTTCAAGTAGATAATGAATCATCCTTATCTCTATTATTACTGAATAATATGTATTCATCATGATTTTTTAAACAAGATATTGTATATAAATACACAAACAAGACAAACAATCCGCAGTATGGTGAAGATATGTAATGAATAAAGTCCTAATGAACATCAACAATAAACAAAAATTAATAAAATTCACCTGGGTAAAGAAAATATCAATTTACTTCATTTTCTGAATGTACTATTCACAGAATATATAACCAAAGTTTAAAGAAAACCAACTCATTTCCACAGACATTTGAATTACCACTTAAACAACAATATAAACGCCTCTTCAATAAAACCATCTCTTTACTCCAGTTCTTTTTTGCACAGTAAACTATATTCTTCCTTTCTGTCCATTGGTAGTACTTGACAGACTTTTTCAACAACTTAAAAATGCTAAAATAAGCTAAAAAATTAATATTTATATTTTCCTAATAATACTTTGTTGATTTTAGTTGATTTTGATAATGGAAAAGTTAAAAAAGAAGGTATATTAAAGCTGGAAGCCAGTCACTATGAAACACCTATGAATGATCAAATGGTAGCAGTAAGTTCGGAGAGATTACTGTACACTGGAATTGTTGAAGAAGATGATCTCTACAATAACTTCATCTTGGTCCATAATAGACAAAAAGAAGAGGTTAGCCTATAAAGTATTTTAAAATTTATATTATATTTTTTATAGATCTATATCATGAATAAGAAAGGGCCAGTAATATTGTTTAGTTTTAGGGATCTTACATTTACATTATTTCATTACGTACGTGATTGCTTTGCAATGGGTATTTCTGAAGCTTGCTGTAACTGAAATAATATTGTTATTTGTCAATATGTGTGACACTTTCTTATCGTATAGTAACCAATTGGGTCCTTGATAAGATTTTTAATGGATTTTTGTCCAGTTGAAACAAAGCTTTTTCAAAACAAAGTATTTTATAACAATTTAAATATCATTTTGATGCATCATTTATCATGATGCATTTTGTTCAATATTCATTTACCAAATGGTTAACAAAATTTGTTGTAATGTTTTTTTGCTATTTTTTCAAGGACTGTATTAATTTAGTAGGTTTAGGGAATGGTGTATATTGTCTAAAGCTACTAGTTAATTCAAGGTTTTTAAAATAATGATCATCAGTTTGGTACTCTGACCATTTAGACTTCTTATTTATTGGGTTTCTTAATATTGAAAATATCTTTGCTTTAGATAAAACTGTATCAAGTTGATACTGTAACAGTCCGTGCAAGGTTTCCACAGAAAAATGTGGTAGAAACATCCCCCAGGAAAGAAAATGCAGTATCTGAACTACATAAACAATTTGGATCAAAAAAAGCAAAGAGGGTGACAGAACAGAGGGAAAGGCTTACCATGAAGATAGATGCAATTAAGGAGCAATTGGAAAAAACTGTAGCAAGTAGGTTCCTATACCAATACCTATTGTATTTAGAAAGGTTTCATTTAGTTAAACATCCAAATTAAATTCAGTTAAATTAGTGCAAATTTCATTTAAACATGATATATTTATTTTCGGGTTAACTTGTTTTATACAATTCTAGATTAAAATATATTTATTTTCTATTAACAACTTCTAAACATACTATAATACAATGGTATGTGCGTTCCTAGTTCTCTGGTATGTGCAAAATATATCGTAATGGATGTATAATTATGTCATCAAGACCACGGAAAAAGAAGAATGCACATTGACTTTGACATTTTGCTTTAATAAGTTTGTTTATGTTTGATATTGTGTTTGGATGTAAATATTTTTGTTACAATATTAATATTTCAATGTAATTTTGAACTGTGACACAGAGAAAGTGTTAAATATGATCGTGTGAATTTAAGATGCGGTAATGTCGTTGCTGTCAGAAACTGTAGATTATAACAATCAAGCTTTAGCTTGGAGACTACCACTTAAAAAATGTATAGAAATAAAGAGTGTGGATATAATTCCTGGAGAAACAGTAACCATACAACTCAATGATACCTCTCAGTTAACTGGAATGCCAGATGTTAATTATGAAATCTTACACAGTGAACCTAATTTTAAATCCCAGTGTAATAATCCACCTTTAGGAATAGAAAACCAAACATATTTACAGGATATTAGATCTTTAGAACAAGCTATTAATACAAGTCCGAAGGTAATAAAGAAAAACAAACCGAAAAAGAAAGTAAATAGACTACCATTTGATGGTACATTATATCATAGTCAACAATTAGGTCTCAAAGTTCCCCAAAGCAACAACTTGGCACAAGGGGGAGGATAATACACAGTCAAGCTAGGGAAGTTATTCATAATGTTTTTAAATTTATGAAGGATGAAGCCCGGAATGGTATAAGGATTCCCATTTCTAATTATAGAGCAAGAGTTCTGAAAGCCACTGGCATATCTAAGTGTACATATTCTAAAATTACTACTAGGGAATTCAAACGGGGGGACCACAACCTACAACAAAGAAAAAAATTAATGGTTAGTGTAAATGTAAATAAGAAGTGTTGTAATGAGACGCTAATATGATAAAAAATTTTGTAGTCTTGTTATGCATGTTAAGCATGTTATAGTTTAAATTAATTGTAAGTTAAAATATATTATGTAGACTATTTCCAGTAACAACAAGTAGTATTTATATAAATACAGTTAGGACCGTTGATTATCACTAAAAGGGGGATTAAATGAGTTTTATTTTATTAAAAAACAAATACAGGAAACCCTATTTTACAATTTTAATATCTAATAATAAATTTAACAAATACAATCATCCACAACTCTCAAAATCAACTCTAAACAATCCTAAAATGTCAGACTAGACTACATTGTTGTTTGTTGTTAAATTGTCAATAAGGGTGTACACTATCATAATACTTAAGTAAAAAGAAGCGAAGACAAGTTCTTGTGTAGCAGGGATGTTTAATTTAATTTTCTCTAAAAGTTCTGGCCATTGATTAGCTTCAAATCAAAACAAAGCAGACATAGGTCATTATTCTACATTGTTCTAAGGTGTCAAGGTACAGTATCTTTTAAACTTTAATCTCATGTAAATGTTAATTTTAAATGCAACAAAACAAAACAAATGCAAAAAAATCTTACTAATTTTTTTTATATATCTAGTGCTATTAAGCTAATATATAAATATATTCTAGGTGTGAAAATTGATAACATAGAGCAGAACAATGTATCAGAAAATGACAGTATATATAGACCAAAAATTAATAGAGACGCATCAACTCCTGATGGTGTTTACAATCTAGAGGATTTAGTAGAAGCATACATTTTGGATACACTAGCAGTAGAAGCCGGAAATATTCTACAAGCTGGAAGTGCTGACCAATTTGGGTAAATGTATTTTAATCATATATACTAAGAAACGTATATACCAATGTATACAACAGTTTTAACATTTTTAACATCATCTTTGGAAAAAGTTATTTCTAGTCCATAACAAATAACTGTAATGAAATAAATATTTACATACTATATAAAAATATCAATTGTGTTGTTTGTATACTTTAACAAAAGATAATTGACAAATTTATTTGAATTAGAATGATTTCTGTAGTGCAAAGCCAAACTTACATTACTAAAACATTAATTTTCATTAAGTAAATAACATCAAAATGTCACACGATAAATAGCTCCAGTGTCAAATTTAATGAAATATGACATAATATATATAACATAATCTGCCCCCACTTTTAAAATTAATTGTTTTTCATATATCGATACATTTTTGGCAAAGTAACGGTCACCAAATACGATTTGTAGAAAAAACAATTGTTTAATTCAACCTGGTTAAAATTATTCAAATTATGACTGAAAAAACTTGTCCTAACTTTTCTAAAAAATGTTTAAAGTAATTCTACGCTTACTACACTTTGGCAGTACCTTTTTAACAACAATAGTGTTAGTTTAATTGAAAAACATGATTTTCGCCAAAAATGTCACTTACGTTACTTTGCCAAAAATGTATCGATATTTAAAGTTTTGTAGCCATGATTTTAATTTTATAGTTGTTTAACAATAATTAGTAGACCTACAACAATAATTATGGTCAATATGTTGCTCTTTTCTAACCTTAAATCATTTCATTATTGGTGAATGGACAGAACATTTCTTGGTTTTTAATTCCGATATTTTTCCTAAAGTTTTGTCTCTGACCATCAGTAGAATTTACAATGGACAGCACCAATCATATGTCTTAAATATGTTTTTTAGATAATATCTGTATACCTATATCTATATACAATCATAATCAGTAACTCTTCACAAATTTGAAATGTATCATATTTACTAAACAGGTCACTTGGAACACAAAAAATTGATTTTATGATACTGTAATATGTAGTATAATGACATTTGGGACTTAAACAAACAAAACAACAGCAAAATTACAGGATCATATTAGAAATGATTCAGAGAATTCAATTTGGATGACATTGGAACAAGTGACCTACCTAAAAGAAAAATGTTTAGTTTGATGTGGATACATAACAAGACAAGATCAATCAAGGTGGACATAAAAAATCTCAGATTGGAAGAAGTAAAGAGGAAATAAGTTGTGGAAAGACAGGATCTTAAAAATAGAGAAGAGTGGAATTCCTTACAACTTGTTGTAAACTGTGATTAAGCTCCAAGAGATCATACAATTGACAATGAATTTCACATTCAAGTTCTAAAAAGATTGCACTGTAGTCAAAAGAAAAGACCACATTTTGGACTACCAGTTTCTTCATCACTATAATGTGACAGCATGTGTATTTGATATGTCCCAAAAATGTTTCTCTCTAAAGTGTTTTAGTTACTTTTTCGTTCATATTACTTCGATTCATATTACTTCGATAATTTCAGGCTGCTTCAGTGGCTTAAAGCATCAATGGAGACATGTTGTTAAGTTATAATAGGAATTATTATAAGCTGGATGCTGGATGAAGAATAAATCATGGCAAAGTAATGAATAAAGGTCAGATACTTTTGGTACAGACTTCATATATGTTGAACATACTTAAAGTACAAAAATATTACATCAAATAAGATAATTAACATTTCAAATAACCTTTTTTTTTAAGTTAATTTGTGAAAAATTTATAGAAAGTGAATTTAAAATGTCATCTTTATTTATTTTTTTTTAGATTGTGTCCATTTGCGACCTCTAATATTAATAAAATATTGATCTCGGCATCACAAGAAGAAGAAAAAATACGAAGCATCACCATATTTCTGTATATACAATACCTGATTAAGTTCATGGTGACTCCGATGAAATTGGTTACCAAAAAATTTGTAGTCTGTGATAAATCTGTTGACGTCAACAATCATATACTTAATTTGTTTTCAGAAATGGGTTCACACGGCAGGTAAATAATTTTGTAAGATACTAATTCATGTATGAAATTTGTTTATTAATTTTTATCTTTCCATTCTTTTTATCTAATATATAGAATTTAAGATTTGCTTCTTGTTGGTTAGTAAATTTCTATATTATATTACCGTACCTCGGAGGTAAAGGACACTATGTCCATTTTCTTACTTTTTAAGCAGAGCAGCTTTAACATGTTTTAAATTTGTAATCAGTAAATACTCAAATGTTTCTGATATTTAACCAAAATTAATATATTATAATAATTTTGGTTAAATATCAGAAACATTTGAGTATTTACTGATTACAAATTTAAAACATGTTAAAACTGCTCTCCTTAAAAAGTAAGAAAATGGAGATAGTGTCCTTTACCTCTGAGGTACGGATTAGTTGTTATTATCATTATGAGTATTGGTGTCAAGTATTTGTACATTTCGATATTTACCCTTCTAATGGCATCCAAACAGAGTTGTACGCCTAGTGAAATCAAAGAATATTGACGCATATAGAAGAACAGTTCAAATGGACGATTTGGTTACAGTTATTATATTTCAAAATACTCCTTAAGAGGGAAACCGCATAAACTCAAACTGTGGCTGTCAACTTAAAACCATCATGAATAATATAGTTAGGGAGAAGTGGGAAAGGAGTACAGAGTGAGCTATTTATTTAACTTATGCACCCACACTTAATCAAATTTTCGATGCCATTGATTTGCAAACTGTCTTCTTTTTGTTTTTTTTTAACTATAAAATCTTTAATTTTAATATATTAAATTGTTAAATTTTTAATTTTAAAACTTAAAAAGGTATGAAATTTATAAAATTCAAAGTATTTATTTTTTTATTATATGTAAATAAACTTTTAACTCTATGACCTTTATCTTCATTTTCGTTCAGTCTGTGGAACATTTTGCCTCTTTAGTTGAGTCCTGATGGTTTCTTCATCAAGCTCTTTCTCGGGACGCCGGTGGAGACCATGGGGCGCTTGGGCAATACTATTTGAATCAATTATATTTAAGTTTGCTCCACCCACAGGTCCTCAATACAATCGCTAAACGATGTTTTATGGAACTGCAGGAGTTCATTTTGATATCCAATAGAAGTATCTAGGATAGTGTCTGTGTGCAAAATTACGACAAACCCTCTTTTTGATATTTTTCCCATGTTTTTCCCACATTTAAATGAGGTTATGAAATGCAGTTTTTTCGGATTTAGAGTATGTTTCGGTCTGAAAATATTTAACATGATCCTGCCATTAGAAAAAAAAAAACAGATGATCAAAAACCTTTCTTCACTTACATGCAGTTAGAGATGTGCTAAAAAACAAGGAAAAAAAATATCGAAAAGGGAGTTTGTCATATTTTGTTTTGGTCTGAAATTAGTGAACCTGATTCCCGCTATTAGAAATAACGAATAAATATGTCAAAAATCGTTATATACTGACATGCAGTTGACTTTATGTGCTAAAAACATGGGGAAAACACAAAAACTGTTTTTTTTTTTCGAATTTGAGGACGTTCCTGAGAGAAAATGGCCAATCTAACTCCCCCATCCAAAAGATCAGAAAAAATACACGAATAATAATTATTTAGAAGTTTGCCAAAAAAAAACTAAAACTTTGGAACCTAAAAATTCTTGGAAAAATTCAAATATTTTTCTGATCTCAATTTTGATCGAATGTATCTTCGTGAATTATTTCAATTTTTTTAATGTTAAAGGTCGCTTTAGGAACTTTTTTTCGAAAAAAAAAAACAACATTTTTGCGATAGGGACCTAAAAATTTGGCCAAAGGGATTTCTAAATATGTACTTTCGAGTACCCTATCCCAAATAAGGAATCCAGCCGAGTGCAGACTCTACCATCTTATACCGCTCTAGCCTTTAAACATAAATAAAAATATACTTTAGTTTGGTAAACCATCACCCATAAAGGGTGTTTAATTTTTGATTAATGTCTAAAAACAAATTTATCGATCTTGCCTTACTTTACTCGTCATTTTCACAGTTAATTTCACTTTCTGATCCTTAAATTCTGTTGACTGGTAACCTTTGTTAGACCCAGACGTGGTCGCTGTTTCTAGTAAGTGCCAATATGTTCCCTTTCTTCTAAATTTGAAATCATTGACACTATATCGTTTTAATTTTCACAACTTCTAAAATCTAATTTAAATATGTCTATACGCTTCTGTAAGTGGCTTCTTTGCAGTTACTCCAGTAAGTAATGATAATACATGTGTTAAACAGCCAACATTTTTACCCTCTTTTTTAAACTATAGTGGGATTACTTACTTCCAGGTTTCACTGATAATGGTCTAACAAAATCGAAAATGGTGTTAAAATTATAATCTTTTTGGGTATTTTCATTATTTTAGTAATTTTACATATATATCAATTATACTAGAAGTGTTTACTGTATAATAAACTCGTACATATCTGTTATAGGACGAGACCATTACATATGAAAGACAAAGCACTATGCTATACAATGGTTTTGGCAGCAATCGCGATGGATTTCGAAGTAGACGTGGAGCTTTTATCGAAAGATATGAAAATCGGTATCAAAAAAGCTATAGAAGTAGCAAGGATTCTTGCATTCAACGCAAAAGCTAACAACAAAAATGTCGTGCAATTGAAACTTCCGTTACCAGCTCCAGTTAACTTTACGCCGAAGAAAGGGAGAAGATGAACAAATCTTGAGGAACAAGTTATGGTTTATTATAATTACTATTTAAATGAGAATAAGCCACGTTCTCAAAATACAAACATTAGTAAATTAAACAAATTTTGTTTTTTTTGTTACTTGGTGAAAAAAATTCTTCTAATAATTTAATTTTATCTGACTCATAACACACTACCTTCTCTGGATGTTTTAATCTCTAAGAACGATACTAGATATGAGACTCAGGTGTATAGAAAACCAACACACACCAGCAGATATTTAAATTTCAAATCAAATCACAGTATTGATATTAAAAAGAGGAATCATTAAATCCTTATACGATAGAGCCAAAATTGCTTGTTCTAATGAAAATTCGTTCTTTGAAGAAAAAACATTTGTTAACATCTGTTTTATTAAAAAAATGATTATCCTTTATCGTTTATAAATAAGGAATTTTCAACAATCGACCGAATAGAACAGAACAACTTAGAACGGGATCCTACACCATATACAAGGAATAATACGAGGAAAATAACAATACCATACATAAAAGGAGACGAAAAACTTAAAAGGATAGGAAATAAATTCAAGATTTGAACAACATTCAAAACAAACAAACACATTGAGATCTATTTTATCTAAAACTAAACCCAAATGAACAAGAAAGGACAAAGAATTGTATTTATAAAATACCTTTTGAATGCGATCAGTTTTATCAGGGTGAAACATCAAATCACAATAAAACAGATAATGGAAAAATGCTGAAGTTTGATCGTGAGCTTCATCAGATGTTCATAGATTTTAAACAAGTGTTTGATAGAGTATGCAGGGACAGACTGTGGGCAGCGATGCAGGAACTTGGCTTTCCAAAAAAAAACTAGTCAGGTTGATACGGATGTGTATGGAACGGTTACGATATAAGGTGAGAGTTGGATAACAATACTCGGAGACATTTGAAATAAACAATGGACTAAAACAGGGAGATGCACTTTCACCACAACTCTTCAACTTAGCTCTGGAGCACATAATCAGAAGTGCAAGAATCGAAAAACCGAATACAGTATTTCTTCGAGAAGGACCAAACTTACTACTGGCATTTGCAGACGATATCGATCTAATAGGAACACACGATTAAGGATGAAGGAGACTTTCGTGAGGTTCGAGAAGGAAGCAGAGAAGATGGGGCTCCAAATCAACGAAAACAAGACGAAATATATGTATATGAGCCGCAATAACCAAAGCAGAGACAGAATCGGTAAGAACATCACCATTGATGACTTTAACTTTGAGCGCGTTAGAGAATTCAAGTATCTTGGAACAACAATAACTGAGGACAATAACGGATCACAAGAAATAAACAACAGGATTCAGGCCGGCAACAGATGTCTTTTTGCCCTCCAAAACCTTATAAAATCGAAACAACTAACATAGACATACGAAAATACAGGTCTATATAACAATCATACGACCCGTTGTAATGTATGGAAGCGGAACGTGGACGATAAACAAAGGCAACGAAGAGAGGGACTATGCGTTTGGAAAGAAAAATCCTAAGGAAGATCTTTGGTCCCGTGCTGGATGAAGCATCAGGACAATATAGCTTAAGAACTAACAAAGAGCTTGAATAACTTTACCCAGACGCCAACATCATAAAGTCCAGAAGACTCCAATGGGCAGGACACCTCAGAAGACATTCTCACGAACGAACAGTAAGACTGGTGTGGGAGGAAGTTCCAACTGGAAGGAGACCACGCGGACGCCCTCGTCTCCGGTGGCGAGATTTGTAACGCCACGGAGTAAGTAAGTAAGTAAGAAACACCAAGGCTATTAAATGTTAAAATAAGTGAACATCAATCTTATACAGTGGTGTTAAAAATCCTGCATCACCTAAGCGCCTTATAGTTTTTGAGGTTTAACACAAGTTTTTTTGTATATTTTTCGCTAATTCATTTTTAAGTTTGTGCTTGTAATTAGCATTATTAGGTATACTTACCAATGTTTTTTTAATTACTAGCTCAAAATTCTACAGAAAAGATTAAAATTAATTTGATTAAAGGGATTTCCCATAATCCGAGAAAATTTATGACGTGATAAGTCGTTAAAGTACTATTAAATTGAATCTTAATGACAAATTTGCCACATATTTTGACTATATAAACACTGTAGTTATCCTAACATATTTATTCACTCTTTGATTTTTGATAAAAAGGCCAAAATGTCATCCCAGACCAAACGAAACTAAATTATCGGACGAAAAGCGTTTTGAAATTAATTTTCATCATAAAATCAACAAATCTAGTTACGAAGTAGCATCCGCAGTAAACTGTAGTCAATATACAGTAAGTAGAGTCATTAAGAAGTATGCTGAAGAAGGAAAAATCGACGACAGACCGCGTAGTGGCCGACCAAGGAAAACTTCTGTTCGGGATGACGCTGCGTTAAGAAGAACAAGTCTGGCAGACAGAAGCCTTAATTCCACCCAATTGACGAAGCTGTGGTCTGTCTACAGGTGTGAGCGTGTGCACTTCCACTGTGCGAAAAAGACTGCTTAATTTTGGTCTTAGAGGATGTAAGGCACGGAAGAAACCACTGCTTTCAGGAAAAGCAAAGATTGCACCGTTTGAAATGGGCCAAGGAACATCGAATCTGGTACAGCAGAGCAATGGTAGAGTGTACTGTTTAGTGATGAATCCACTTTCAATATTAATTATCATGCTGGAAATGCCTACGTCAGAAGTTTCCTGGTGAAGAATTTTCTCTAACATGTGTTCTTCCCACAATTAAACATCCAACCTCCGTTATGATATGGGGTTGCATGTCCGCTCGAGGAGTTGGTCGCCTACACGTTATCTATAGGATGAAGAATGCTAACAAATACATTGAGGTTCTACAGAATAATGCTGCGTAGTGGAAAAGACCTGTTTAGCGAAGAAAAATTTATTTTTCAGGATGATAATGCCCCTTGCCATAGAGCATAATTGGTTAAAGCTTGGATGGAGAGTAATGAAATTGATGGACTGGCCAGCGCAATCCCGGACCTCAATTCCATCGAGAATTTATGGCAAAGAATATTAAACATCATTTCCAAAAGCAAACCTACACATAAAACGAAATTAATCGAATCTATTCCACGCTTGGCATCACTGTGTTTTCCATGAAGGAACTGAAAAATAATATTGTGTATAAGTGCTTGTTTGATGTAGATAGTAAATTATTAAAAAATATTTAAGGTAAATACCTTAAACTTCTATTTTCATGTATTTGCTAAGGTGATGCAGGACTTTTTAACACCACTGTATTAAAAATAGAGAATTTGATAGATCTGAAATATGTAAACACGCATGGGATACTGAACGTAGGGTTCAGTTCAATGGAAATGATTCAAATGTAGTCCTAAAAGAAACGGATGGTAAAAAGAGAAAAATCAAAGAAGCGGCTCTAATTTTGCTAAAATGAAACCAATTGTGACGCAAATTCCTCGGCAGAATGTAGTAGGATATGGTTACCCATATTAAAAAAGGAAGTTATTAAAAGGAAAATACTAGTATTAGTCAGTAACGTATAAAGTAAAAAAGTAAACGAAATGCATGACCAAATACTTGTCATGTCGGGATAGTATTATTGAGGATGAGTATTATGTCGGGATAGTATCATCATGGCACGTGTTTGTCTTTTTAAAGACGTAATTACATGCTACCATTTTGTCTGACGGATATTCTCAAGTTAAAGTTGATTTCGAATAAAATATCTTACAAGTAAAGTCGTCCCAGGAACGCACCTCAACAATATTGGCAATATCAGTTTAAAGTCGTCTACTTTAAAATGTATAATGTATGTCTGAAATGTCAATATAAATGAGTCAGATAAAATTAAATTATTAGAAGAATTTTTTCACCAATTAACAAAAAAAAAAAAACAAAATTTGTTTAATTTACTAATGTTTGTATTTTGAGAACGACTTCTGAAGTGGAAATTGAAACGTCAATAAACGTACTTTAACCTTTACTTGTAGCTTGTTCCCATTTAACAGTAATTACTTGTAATAAAGTAAGTACAGTAATTAAACTTACATGGTTTATTATAGTGTATATAAAGAATCCTGGCTTCGAAGGTGCCATCAATTCGAACTGTTTTTAATTGTGAAATTGAATTTTTAATAATAATTTTTATTTTTTCCCAAATGTAGTTTTATTTTTAACTATAGCCGAATAGTACATAATCCTTTTATGATCACGTGCAAGGACTGCACAACTGAATTTCCTTACTGAGTACAACTTGACGCTTACGCAGGTGACATTATTAAATTCTATCCTCTCGTTCTTCTGCACATGTATAACAGTATTCACAATATTTCTATATATTGCGTTTATTTTACGATAGAATATATTAAATTTCAAACCACAATATAAATATCAACAAGGGAATAATCAAATCAGTATATGATAGAGACCGATATTACAGGTAAGATAATAAGCTTTGCAAATGACAGCTATTTTCCATCATGCAAATACATGGGGTAATTTAAAAGAAATGCCATTTAAAGTAACCTTCCAAATCTTGGCTAATAAGTCAATGCAAAAATGAAATTCCATATACATAAGAGAGTAAATATCTAGGTATAATAATTAATAAACATTTTCGTTATGAATTCAGTACTCAGAGAATGAAGTAAAGTTTCTTCCCAAATCAATACTCCAGCTCGAACTTAGTTCTCGCCGGTATTCGCGGCATTTTATATTTTCCGGTGTTCCATCTCCAGCGCGCATCGATGATAGTGGTAGATTGTTGAGGGAGTACGGGCACACAGAGATAGGACTAGTTTTTAGCAAGCAATAACGGCATTATAATTTACAAATATACCTTTTATTTCTTCAATAGTCAGAAGAGAGGATAATAACTGGCTATCAGTACTATGTGCTTTGTACTACAATCTACTAATATTTTAATAATGGTATTTATGTGTTGAATAAGATTAAAACACAACATGTAAACGTTTATCGGTTTTTCCTTTTTATGTTAGTTTATTGTATTTTTGAGTATATTGGTAATAATGTCTACTTTGCGCCATAGGAAATTACTTCTTGTTTAAAAACAGCTAGCTTTAATAACGATTGGGGAAACGTTGCGTTTATTAGTGAACAATAAAAACTAATAGTATTTAATTTATACAATTTACTAATACTTATATTTTTAGAACGATAACAAAGCCAGTCCTGTGCTCATTAGTCCCATTCGTAACATGCAAATTTACCTATGTTAATTACATTTCCAACCATTATAGCGTTCCATTACTGGTTTTATTATATTCTGTGGTACATGCGAAAAGACAATA